GTCGTAGTGCAACGTGTCCTGCAAACTGGACTTATTGCGCTTCTTAACTTTGATTGACGGTCATATTTGATACATAGCTACTTCCTATTTCATAATGAAATTAGTACCAGACATGTTAGTGAAATACGTACAGGCACATAGCACAAAAACGTACTGTTTTTTTTTTCTACTCTTTATTATTACGTGAAAATATGGCGTAGTTAACATTAATGGAAATTTTGACAGAAATACATTAGATATACTAAAAAGTATATTGTCAATGTACGTAATAAATTTGTGTTCTATATCATGGAACGAACAATCGATAAGAATTCTGTTTGTTAAAACATACTATAGATATACAAAATACATATGTAAACGTCGATTGTTCAAAACGTAAGCAATTTGTTATTATTTTTTGTATGTACCTACATGATACATCATCACGGTCGACGACTTTGTCAGTGCCTGTTGCTAGACTTAAGAGTTCTGTGAAAATCCAAATAGGTAGGTGCCTAAAGAAAGTGAGTTACAAACACAGAAGTCCCCGCCATGCCATATTTAATTAGTTATAGACATAAAAAGGGTCATTCTAGAATGAAGTACTACTCATATATGCCTACACACATGACTGCCTTCGCTCGACCTCAGGCTTAGCTTCAGAATGTCAGAGCGATACAAGACAATGCTAGCAATTCAGTGTCTCGGCTATTAGCAAAATTAAATTAACACGAGGCGCTACGATGATAATGTTTTGTAATCGCTCGTACTTGGGGAAGCTTAGAAATATTTACACTAGATGTTTTTATAAACAACGGCGCCAATTCGAAAGCCTACAAAATGCGAAAAGATTGAAATATGCAAAAAACAGATCATTTTTATCGACAATACAAATAATAAAAAATTTCATTGTTCATTAAAAATTACATGCTACTTAACGTATGCTTTCTGTGTATGTACCTGATATATTTACTCTTACTTGTGTGATACTTTACAATTGCTATATAGTAATAAAAGAGAGTAAAAGTGTAACACCTGTGACTGATAGCACATATATCACCATCTTGCACAAACATCGATCGATATAAAGACAGTGTATGAAAATTTAATTCAATAGTAACACAAACTACACTGTAAATTTCTTAATCATAGACGCTAATGCAATTAAATAATTCACCGTGCCAATGTCTGTAATTACGTTTATCTTGCTCTAGAATCGTTATTGTATTTGCATATATTTACGAACTATGATAAAGGATGAAGCAATCTTTATCCTTTATCATAGCTATAAGTATTCTTCTTTGACTAATTATCAGAAGGCAGTATTTAGTAATTATATATAATAATTCTCATGACGTAATTAAAATATAAATTAATAAATAAATCGTTATTTCAGTCGTTTTTCGTAACAAAGATAATTTTTTACGATACCGTACCGTTACTTTTGTAATGTCTTGTACCAAAACAGCACTTCAAATAAAAAGTGCATTAAAGTCGTGACAATGAAATGACAAATAGACAAGCTTTCTTTCGTCTTCGTGATCTATCCTATGGTAATGAGATGTTGCACAAGTGACTTGCACCGGGTGCCTTGGTCGAGTACGACCTCGTCTATATAATGCGCGATTGTTCACAATTAAGAATTAAGACAAAGCAGAGAGCAAGGCTGCGTAAGGCACGGAGCTAGCCCTCTCTATGGTACAACTCTGAACCTCAATTTCATAGTTACTAATATAATTCAGTTTTACCTTTTTGAGTTACATGATTACTCTTTTCCTGAAATTCGTAAACTACTTCTATTGTTATAATATATTCAAAATATAAATTTGTTCATTCATTCAGAGAAGAATTTATGACATGCAGGCAGTGTTAATTAATCACAACAGATTCTACTAACAAAATTTTCGCCAACTTCATATAATTGTGTTAATATTGCAAAAATTAAATTTGATTTACCTTGGACCTAAGAAATAGCGCGCGTACTCATTTATGTAGATGATAAAGATTAATCATTGAGGTACAGAGTATCTTGGAAATACTAAGAAAAATTACAAAACCACAACAACACCAATCAAACGTTTAGAATAAGCGATACCGACCACTACTGAGATACATTACAAAACACTAAGTAAGGTTTACAGAAGGAGCGATAAATAAATAATAAGATGTTGTTTAAAATTTCGAAACGCCGTACGGTAGACCGCCCGTGTCTTTTCCAACCTATAGCTTAGATAAAGCTCTATGAGCGGTACTATGGTGTATTGGTTATTTCGTCTTTTAAAGTCCTACCTTTAAAGATAAGGCGCAATACACCAATAATGGACCAATAATAACCATTTGTTGTGGTATAGTCAACTGATTGTTTCTCATCCAGTTCTATGTACATTTTCGGATTCTAGATTATCACATAGTGCATAGTCATCTCCATCAAATAAGAAAGTATTTCAAGAACTGCAAACGATACAATATAATCTAAAAGCGTAAAGACGGCCGTCGACATAGGTCAATATTACGTAACTATGTGCACAATTATAAATCCGCATATATTTCCAATATAAGACGCAGCTTAGACTACGATTCCTTTTCCAAAAACCACACCTAGGTTAAGAATATACCTGAAATACAGTTGCGAGAGACGCCTAGTCATAGGTATAAGGTGTTGGTATCATTTCTCATAATTACACGATTACATAAACCCGTTGTGTATTTATAGTATGATACGACTCGGTGCCGCAATAACACAAACGTAGTTAGGGCAGTATAATTTATGGACGACCTACTGATCAAGTTGCTTTCGAATCATACTATGTATAATCGCGATTTTCAAGTGCCTTGAAAAAAGGAGGAGGTTCTCAATTCGACTGTATTTTTTTTTAGTATATTACGTAATCAATCCGACATTTTTGTGTTAATAAGGGAGAATCTCAGTTGTAATCCCATTCAAATTTAAAAAAATATTCCACCTCTAAGAATGGCAAATCAGGAAATGAATCCGGTTTACTGGATTTCACCCACTTCCCGTTAATCGTTTTAGTAATAGTAGAGCTCTTTGTGAAAGAGTTCATCCAGGAAAGTAGTGCCACCTTACGTATTTCTGCAGCCAACCAGTAATGTGAGCATTGCTGCGTTCCGGTTTAGAAGGGTAAGGGTGCTGGTGAAATTACAGGCACAGGGGACGTGCCAAGTTATGGGTGGGTTATGGTTAAGTCCGGGTGACGGACGCAGTGCTCATAAGACCTTTGCGATTTAATGCTCTAAGTAGCGCTGCAATTGTTATGGATAGTCGTGTCATATGTATATTATTAAAAAAACCGATTTCAATAAAACATTGCAAATACATGTAATTCCACGAAGTAGATTTTTTTTTATAAAAAATGTATAATTCATACATACATAAGTCAGTCGATACTTTTTAATACTTCATAATTATATTTAAGTTATTTTATCGTTAAGTTCTCTCAAGCAAAGAAGGGTATTTCTTTACTCAAAATTCTATGAATACTATTGATTGAAAAGCTTTTATGATATGAAAAATATATGTTTTCTTTTACAAGGAACGCAATTTTTTGATGTTTCGATACAGTAATTGGAAAAATCTATATCGCTGGGGATTTCCAGGCACTTTATGATACCTACATACACAGATACCATCATGACTGTTTCCAATGAGGTAGTGAATAGACTTCATGCACTGCACTTCTGCATCTCTTTTACTTCCTCCATTCGCAACAGTCCTTTTCATACACGTTCGATTATTCTTAATACTTTTGCCCTGGCCTTCACCCATCACCTGATCACTCTGGTTAACATGCACGCTCATCATCCACTTTCACCTATAGGTACTATAAAGACGAGTTTTGTATATATCTGCAAGTAATGGAAATGTATATATATATGTGTTATAACTATTGTGTAATTGGAATTAGATATGTATGTACAGTCGATGCCCTAAGATACCTGACCTCCTAGTCGACCTTTTGATTCTGAGAGCCATCTTACGCATTCAACATTACGAATTCTAACCACTCCAGCTTTATGTTAAAAATTTGTATTCTGTATTTAAGATTTTAAGCATACCTATGTATTAACATAGGTATGCTTAATTTAAAGGCTATTAAGCCTCTTAATAACGTGTAATAGCCTCTTAATAAAATCTAAGATCACTAAAAAGATACGTTAGTAGGAATGAAGCGCACGGAATACGTGCTAAACTGCTAAACAATAAAATTGTATGAATCATCTTGATATATAAGTAGCCTTTACCTATCGAAAACCTTGATCATTAAACACCTGCTTGATATGTTTAATGCCATTTTGATCCTACAATATATAATATTATTAAGGCAAGAGTTTAATTATACAAAAAAAAATTAAAATTAATTTGTAATTCATAAAAAAAAAAGATCCGTAAACTTGTTCATAGTATGATTTTTATGTTCACAAATGTCGAGGCCAAAATAAATTTAGTTAATTATTCATTATATGAATCCTGTAAACAATTAAAATATACCTATCCTAGTTGTCTTTAAAGTTCAAACAGATATGTTATATATATATATATATTAAATTAATGACTACTTGATATTAAGATATAAAACTATTTGCAATTGCCAGCGAAATAAGTCAATTCCATTACAATGGATGGCATTCTTAACAGGTATACGAACGTATAAGTAGGTAAAATCTGCCAAAACTCGAAATTCTCTTTAGTTTTTGGAGAATAAGTAATTATTTTAGAAATTTCTTTACCAATTTACCTACTCTGTTCAGAAGTTTGTTACTCAATCGCGTACAACGGATTTAAGTGCATTTTCGTAAATCAATGGTTTATAACTTCGATAAGCACATGGAGTATTTTTAATTCCTTTGTTAGCATCAATTCGCAGGCAGATGCCACCAACTACAAATATTTTTTTTTATAAAAACATGATACTTGCAATTATTATCATTCCATATTGCTTTCCATAAATATGACGTAATAAATTTAAACATAAACGCAGGCTTAATCGAATTAAACATACCAGGTATAGCGACACCGAGTTCAAGGTATTCTTTGACTGAGGGGCTGATGAAGGCGTGGGGCGCAGGACCAGTGGCTTGCTCCGGCTCTGGAGCATCCAATTCTTGAGCGGGTTCGCGCGATAACTGCAAATCTCCTGCTCGTGGCCTTTTTACACGCGCACCTTCCTCGGCACTGTCTGAAACGGAAATGAATGTATCGTCCAAACGAATATTATTTCATTTTGTATAGACGTGATAGGCTTTTCTTCAGAAATCATAACACTTTGTTCACAAATTACTATTTGCGCAAAAATAAAAGATGTCATTCATACACCAAAAAAAGTAGGTATATATGTATAGTGTGACGGGGGCAAACTGGTCGTTTAAATAATATTTTAAGCAAAAAGCTTGGATTATTTTTGAAGTGGATTTAAATACACAATATAGTACTTAATGTTAATAATACCTAAGTATGAATAAGTATTCCAAAGCTTCACTTATTTTTTATTTATATTCACAGTCACCAATGAACGTAGTTTTTTCTAAATAAATTTTGAACTTGTTTCTTACCAGTGAAAGAAAACAGTGACAACAGCACCAAGGCATACACACCAAAAACTGTCCTAATCATCATGGGCATCAAAGGAATATTCAAAATTGGAATGAAATCACGATACGTGCACACATGTTTTCAACTTAAGTCCGCGTCTTGATAAAGCTTTCAGTCGGCATTGAAGACAGTCAAAATTATGAAGGTCCCAGGGTTGATTTCGTAACTTGCGGTTGATATACAATAAGTCACCGCACCGGCAAATTACACAACTTCACAGCGCTCGCGTGCGCTTTTGGGGACGGCCAAGCGAGCAATGTTCGTCCACTCAACGCGCATTACGGCTTCTGACTCTACACAATGTCGACTCTATCAACTGAACTAAGTTATACAAAATAAACTGACCTCTTACTCTACTTATTTCTTTTTTAAACGACTCTTCATCTCAATCATTACAAAAATTAAACAAATATGTATATTGACTGTAAACATACGTAATATTATGAATAAGTAGTGTAGAACTATCATATTATCTTTCTTGTTAGATATTTAACATCTTTTTCTAATATGTGGTCTATTTCTAGTATCTTAGGCAAGAAAGATATGGTAATGAAATGTTTTGGTGAATAAATAAAAATTAAATGTCTCCATTTAAAAACTCGACAGTTAAAATTTTTTTCCATCCTTCACAAACATTTGAAATACCCGCGTGAATTGACGATCTCATGACTGGAGTCGGATTTAATATACCGATCTCTTTCCACACTCAATTAATTCACATAAAGTAGTAAGAGATGTAACATTTTCTTTACTGTGCCTTTCCAAAGCAACGAAAATTGTTGTCTGTTTATGCCAATTCTATTTTGTCTTTGTTTGTTATTTGCCATTTTGCGTACCTATCTATAATTCGTAAACTTATTCTTTCCGTTACTCGCCGATCGCGACAAAAAATAATAGAATTGAGTAAAATTTTGAACAGCTTATAATAGATCATTCGTAGATCATAATATCATTGTCATTGTGTATGTAGGTACTGTTAACATGCCTACATAGTCTAATTTAAATATAAGTAAAAACAAGAGTAACTCGTTACAATGGATCTTAAACTTAAGAAATCCTGCCCAAACTGCAGTCAGCTTTACCATCTCAAATGTAAGTCATATTTTTATTATATATATCGCTAAACTTTGATAAGAATAAGAGCTTTTTCCCATTTATTAAAAAAGTCACATTCGATTTGTTGGCTTTGTGCGCCAGATTCGCCTGTTTTTTTAATATATAACCCTCTGTTTAATTATGTGAGTATATGTTTGAGTCTCTTTTCTGAGAGTATTTTTGAAAGCCTTGATATGTTAATCTTTCAATTCAACATATAAACCCGGATCGGGTTCACATCTGTGTTACAATCTATGCGTCTTGCGTGCGTTACAATATGAATATAAATACTTAGAGTAATTTGTATTGTGAATGAAAAAGAACCTATTTGCAAGGTTGCCGGAATTAGAAAATTAGTCAAAAATAAATTTCAAGACCTATCAAACGTATATTAGAAACGTGAATTTTCTTAATGCTTTTAGTGCATAAAGGCCCTAACCAAAATTTGTTTTCGACTTCCAAACTTATGATTCTTTCCCACTAGTGCATTTATTTCAACATTATATGTTCATTTCAAATCATTTCATTGTGTTTACTAACACCTGTTTTTTTTTTCTAGAATATCCTAAACCCAATATACTTCAATTCACATAACATTTTTTTGTTTAACTTTTGACCTTGTGCTTTATTTTCCATTGCATTTGATTTCTACATTAAAAACATTTACAGTGGGATCACAAACTAAAGGAAACATTCCATTATTCCTATCATGCGGCCACAGCATGTGTGAAACATGCATTGGGCACATAATAAAGTTTGCAGAGCCCATAGAGTGCAAAGTATGCCATCGGGATATGGAACTTAGCTCGACTGACTTAGCCCTTTTAGAACAGAAGAAGATCAAGTTTTATCAACTTTTTCCGGCTAACTTGACATTGCTGGGGGAGCTTGCCTTGCAAGTAATAGAGGTCTGTAACATTACTCATTGGTCACTACTGTTTAATTGATTGTATATCAGAATAGTGTCCGTTATAAAAATAATAGCCAGTGATTTGATATGACAATATATTACTGAAAACTCCTAGGCTGCCTAAGTACATAATATCTGTCAGGCATTGAAACTCCAATGCTTAAAGAGAAAGTATCTATTGATTTATTTTATTTTTTTGTGAAATAGCTCCACTAGTTTGTTATAATTATTAAGTACTGTATATAATAATTATAACACAAAATATCTACCGAAAAATTACGAAATGCGACATAGTTTATAATAAAGTAATAGTTTAATTAATATTCCTTGACCAAAATAAGAGTATTTTGTAAAGCTGCATCAAATAATCGGACATTTTCAATAATTTAGAATGTAATGTAAACAATATATACTATATGTGATTTTATTTTTCAAAATTGTTCTATTAATTCAGTAGTAAAGAATGCTTTTCAATAACGACAATCACATGAATAAAAAAATTAAATTGAAACAAAAGAAGTATGAGTACTTATAAGACGTGCATGACCATCAGATTCCCAACCAATCCAGCGAAATAAAAAATATTCTGTAAAACGGTGGCCAAGTTCCCTTAGCATAGTTGTTGATCCAGCAAAAGAATTGAAATTGTACTATTTTTAAATTACTTGTACAATAATCATAGAATTTATTAATAATATTTGTTTGTTACTACTAGTTCCAATATAGGTTTTCATCCACAGCATAACTCTGAGGCGCCAAAAAAGAAAGAGGAAAACTACTTTATTGACCTCCAATCTGTTATAAAGGATACGGATATCACCCAAGGTAATAAATATTGTTAAATTTTACTTAATCTCAATGATGTGCAGATTATTATGGGTTTATAATTTTGAAATTTGCAGGGCAATGTATGGAGTGTCACAACCGCACTTCCAAGATGTGCCAACAATGCGCTACAATCTTATGTGACACATGTTTCAATAAATCTCATAAAAATTTTATCATTTTCAAAAATCATGTCTTGCAGAACATTGGTAAGTTATAAACATTGGTAACAGATTGATGTGAAGCCAATACACCATTATGACATTAAATTGAATGTCTATTGATAACTAATATACATATTGTTGAGGTTTAGGTAACTATATTTTGATACTTTGGGGAAGAGAGGTGTAAAGCCAAACTACAAAGTTTACTAAACAAGGGTAAAACAAATTTGTAAAGGTTTTGGTTTATACCTTTTTTAATTGTTACTACCATTTTTTCATAAAAACGCCAGTTTTCGACAAATAATAAAACTGAATAATGAAACTGAAGGAGTCATTACAAATGATAAAATTGGATTCTACGTCCTTGGAATTTGATCTTCCCACATACAAAAAAAAAATATTTTATTTTTATAGCCATTACGAGTGGTGGACACCGACCCATTACACCATACCATACATTTACTTCTGTGTCATGCCTTAAAAAAAAGTGTTAAATGTGTCATAAATCAAATAGGTATATTTTTTTAACTAACCAGGATGTCTACTCCATGAGCTTCTTACTTGACATCACCTTTTGATTTGGTGGAATATTGCTTATTTGACAATATTTATTTCGGACGGAGAACGAGTGTAGCCTCCCAGCCCCCTCGTGGTAAGCTAGTAAGGGCGCATTTACACTGAGGCCGACAGGTCGACTCCGTTTGCTCGCAATTACCCGATGTAAATCCTAAATCGTCGTACAACTGTAGTTCGCAGTCGAAGTCGACCGACTCGACTAGGTGTAAACGCTATGGGCGACTGTCCCATTCGGCATTCGGCGGTCCACCGACAAGTTTCAACGCGTATGCGGCCGTTTCCCACCACGATGTGATTGCTGAGCAGAGTTGCCAATTTCTGGGAAATTCCGCAAACTACGGGGATTTTAGCTTATAACTGATACATTGTATATTTAATGTTACAAAATGGCTTCTATAAGTTTAATGTTACTTCGCATTAGTTTGTAATTTGATATCCATAACAAAGAGCACACAAAGGCAGACACTATAAAAAATTATTCTGTTCTAAATGACAACATACACAAGTGATATTAGAGCTCGATATTTGATAATGAACAATGTGAGAGATTTGATTAAGAATTAGAAAATTAGATTGAAATCTTATACAAGACTTAACCATAAAAAACTTATGAGATTGATATAAAATGCTTTTCTTTTAGAACGAATTATGCAACCTAATACCTGCAAGGTCCATAACGGCAAGTCTCTGGATTATTTCTGCAAGGATTGTTCCAAGTCCATCTGCATGGATTGTCTTGTGGTGGGGGGAGATAAGTGCTGCAAGAATCACAATGTTGTCTCCATGCAAGAAGTGGTATGAAACATTGAAAAATAATTCGTTTCATTAATCTGGGTTCTAAGATTTACAATATATAGATAAAACATTCAAAAAATTGGTCATCACATAATTAAATGGACATAGTTATGCAAACAAGAACCAACCCACACCTCGAGTGAGATGAGTTGTGTTTAGGTAGAACACAGATGTGACCTTTACCTGCTCACAAAATATCCTGGCAATATATTGGTATATATTGCCAGGATATATTATAATATACCAAGCCAAAACGGAGAAAATAAAAGTCCTCCAGGGTACCAACCATAGAACTTTTTAAAAGCTAAAAATAACCATGCTGCTTAACTTCATTTAATTTATTTTTCAAATATGCTAAATGGATCCAAGTGACATGGTACCTGTGGATCTTTAGCGTTTCATTACGAAAACTAGAACCAAGCCACATGGTTCTCGTTAACGAATTTCTTTTCTTTTTATTGCTAAAAGGAACCAAGATGCATTTGGTTCTATTTTGCAAATCAAATATAGTCCCTTATGAAATAACCAAGATGCTTAGTCCTTTGTAGGTAATTATATTTTGTGAAAAGAGTAGGCGGTAAATATATACAAATATATAATTTTTATAATGATAATTTACATACATATAATCGTGATTCGTCCTAATGATTGTGATTATTAAGAGTGTACTGACCTACGGTTATGAATTTTCAAAAACAGCAACACGAAAAGTAAGCTGGTAAAGTGGTAAATCTAACATATTCGTTTCTACTATAATACGTCTCATTCTATGAACTTCATTGATTTATTTTTTCTGCAGGTCTTCATTATTTACACATAGTCATCTGGCGTGTATAGTCTTTATTGCAATTGTAGAACACATTATATTCGACCAAAATCTGTATATTGACCTTCGCAAAAATAATTCCAAAGTAGTAAATGCTTCACGCCGTCTTCAAGTCTCTCCTTTGCATGTTTAATAAGGCAGGAGCCCACTTCCCCAGGAGCCCTTTTTGCTTCTCTTTGTACCTAAATGTTGCGAGGTCCTGAGTGGATGTCCATATTGTTAACCGAAAGACAGCTTTGTCTTTTATAAAATACCACATTTTTGAGTAAGTTAGTATACATAGAAGAGGTAAAGTTTTATACAGGCTTCGGCCTGCTGTGTTTGTTTTGGTGGAGTGAGTTGCATGGGCTAATTTCGTGTCATTTTTGAGCTGCTTTTGCAAAAGCTGAGCTTTTTGTAAGCGCTTAGTGTAAGCATCTTCTGCGTGTATACGTAGGAGAGGTAAAGTAAACTCAAAGCTGTCTTACTTCAGTGGTATCCACTGAGGTGTTTTACAAAAAACAGCCACGACCATGCCTATTGGAAAGTTTGGGTAGAAGGAGAAGCGAGTAGGAATTCGAAGTGAGCTCCTGCCTTCTTGAGCACGTAATGGAGAGCCTTAACGACGGCATGAAGCACTTAACACTTTGGAGTGAATCTTGCGTAGGTCAAAACAGAAATATAAAGATGAAGTTGACACTGAAAGCGTTATTAGATGATCACTCAAGAGTTCAAACAGTAGTCTTCGCTTTCTAGAGTCTGGAGACTGGAGTGAAGAATGTGATGTGGCCCAATCGACTATATGTAAATAACGAACACATACAGAAAAAATCAATCAGAGTTTATAAAATTAGAAAAGAAGATTTTTGTTGTTTACTAACCTGGAAAAAATAATAAAAAGGTAAAAAGTAACTGATGGATCAAAAAAGTATTTTCTTAATATAAAAGAGATTATGCTTAAGATGTGTTTTTAATTTTTGAAAGATGTAACCTAGATTAAAGACTAAACGAAAGTAAAAGTTGAGAAAATTTACTAGAAAATACTGCCTGATTAACTTTAGAACTAATGGATCTGGTCTGGTTTAAAGGAAAACCCATCCCTAAAGCAAAGTTAAACGGCCCGAAAAGGTTGTTGCATCTTGTACTAGAAGATGCACACTTTTACAAAAACTTAACACGGAATGATACAGTTAAAGATTATATAGATAAGTTTTCTGGTGAAGTTGATTTTGAGGTAGAAGTGGACGATGGTGATTAGGTAATGTGGGGTGGTGAACAACAGTGTTTTACTTAATAGTGTGTATGTTCTTGTCATAACAAAATAGTGACAGATAACAAAGGGATTTGAAGTTATTTACTGTAATCTGTCTACCTGTAAAACCTAAACCTTTTTGCAGTAAAGAACCATCCCACAAACCAGTATTTTTGCTATAAAGAACCACCAGGTTTTTTATCTAAAAAATACTTAAATCAAAGAAAAATCAATATAAATCAGTTTTCCTATATCATTCTCAATGCTACACATAAATCGGTTAAGTTGTTTGTCTCAAATAACTTACCTATTTGGTTCTTCACACTGTTTTTACAAAAATCTAATTATCTCGAAAGTGACATTTTGTGGGTTGGTTCTTGTTTGCATAACTATGTCCAAATGTACCTGTATACTTAAATCAATTTTGAAATTCGTTTATGTTACAAAATTATTGCAAAAATTCCTTAATACTGTAATAAACTTAACCATTTGTACAATTTCGTCTTAAATGCTTAAGAGCCAGCGCAAAACGTCGAACGAAAAGACAAAGGACATTAAACGTATTTATGCTATTTCAAATGAATAAGGTAGGTATAAATTTCAATGCTCTGAGACCGACCTCGAAAGCATTGCGGCTCATTTCTCTCTGCAACATTGAAAAGCCCACTAGAGGATACCGCGGTCGCAGCTGCGGATACGCCGGAATCCTCCGGTGTGCGCTGGAGCCTGCTTGAATACTCCGGGGACTTGGGCTGTGCAATCACTAGTAGAACGGAATCAAATCCGAGCGAACAGTGGCATGTTGGCGTATGCCGCGTCATTCCAACCGACTATGCGTTACGCTGGCAGTTGCACGCGGTATCGTAAGGGATAACCTCATCAATGTGCGCTAGCGGACGAAAAAACCTCTTCAATGCTCTCCCCCGCCATCCGCCGATTTGCGCTAGACTTTAATGGGCAAGTTTTTAATGCCAGTATTTTCTTCGTCCGATTCGGATCTGGGGGTGTACTCTCGGTCTCCGTCCGACATCCGTCTGAAACAATTACTGCCAAATAAGCAATACTTGACCAAATGAAAAGACGCGTGATGCGAATGAAGCTTCATACTTGATACTTGTCTTTTAATTTTGTCGAATATTACTTATTTGACAGTAATTGTTTCGGAGGGATGTCGGACGGAGATCGAGAGTAGACCCCCAAATCCGAATCTGAGACATGATGGTCGGAAATGTCACAGAGATAATTTTATCTCTAGGTGTATGAGCGATGTTCACTTTTTCTCGGATTCGAATCAGACTTAGTGCACAATTGACATCCGAAGTGAGTCTGAGTTTTCTAGATTTGTATAGTCTTGGATTCGGAACGAATACGAATCGGATGCAGTGCACAAACGCGCTAAAGTCTTATACAAATACATAAACAATTTCGATTATACATTATGGTGGTTCAAAAAAAGTAGTATGTCAGGATTTCTATAATTTCTGCAATATATGTATTATATTAATTGAACTTATTGTTATAGAATGAAGATTTCATGGAAGGCATAAATGATATTTGTCCTAAAGTAGATGAGACCTACAGACGCCTAACTAAAACTGCGGTGGTAAGTACTTTTATTTATTTATTAAAAGATACGCCATAATAGAATAATTATATAATTAAATTAAATATAGCGACATTTTTTCTTGCGAAAAGTGTCATACGACTACTAGGATGTGAGTGCAACACCCTCTGAGCGCTTGCGTTGCCGGTGATACACTCAGCGGTAGGCACTTATCGCGTGACCTCGACATTATTTGTTACTAGTCCTCCGTTAGTACAATGATGTGTAACGCATGTCGTATGTTATAATAATATGAAATGATATATAATGACCACCAAGACTTTTTTAATGTGTAAAACTATTACAGGACGTAGGCCACCTACTTCATAATATAGAGAACGAAACAGGGCCATCCTCGGAGTTAACTCGATTACTTGCTACCATCGAGCAACACTTCAGTAAACTCACGGCTGCAATTCAAAAACACAGGAATGAAATAATCGACATTGTCGTCAAACTCAAGTGTTCTGAAAAAGAGTCACTAAGAAAAGCTAAATGTGATCTCGAGAAAACTATAAAGAAAGCTAGAATGATCATCAATGCTATCAGTATCTGCTCAGATGCAGAGAAAGCAAAGCAGGTTCGTAAAAGTTTATTTGAACCCATTATTCACCAAGGTGGAAATAAACCTTTGTTCCTCGTAAACTACCAAGTTTTTTTAGTCTATTGATAATTTCAGAGAGAAAATAACACCTGATAGACTTAGGAAATGAAACTATTTTTCCGGATTTAAATCGCGTATATTTGTTTTTTCAAACAAACCTCTTTTCGGGCCCTTTACAGGCCCCATGGTCACGGTTGACTAACTCGACCTGATAGACTGCTGATGTTGATGGATCTATGGTATAATAATATATGTATACTTATTTACGGTGATTAACTTAGGTCCTTCATCACTCAGGTCATTCGATTGTGATCACCGCTTATTTCAACTCGAAAAGAACTGAAGGATTTTCCTGGCTTTGGCTGTCTTAATTTCACCACAGGATATGTTATCCCAATGTATTTAAACATTGTGGAGAAACTTAATAGTGCTGCCATTGAAGATTGATTCGACTATCTAATCTGGTTTCTTCTTCCTACTGGTTTTCGCTTCTTACAATTGTCACAATTTATTTATTTATATTTTATTTTATTTATTTATTTATACAATACAATGTTATATATGCCTAGACGTCGAGTTGCAGACACCAGCCCCGTTACATCAAATTATACCAATACCATACCACATTGTAACAGGCCTGTTTCAACATCAATAGATTATTTTAATAGATGTAACTTTGAATGAGATTAACGAAACAACAAATAATTATTAAATTTTTACGTTTTAAAAAAGACATTCATTTTGTTGCCGCATTATATTATAATATGACAGCACACATTTCAATATTACTTTTGTGCACTACGGCCGATGGCGCTACAATCACTATGGGATCCGATAAATATATATATGACATAAATAAATAATATATAAAACTTCCGAATCCAACACAGTAAACCACAGATAAGCAATCTTATACTTACTATATTTTTTCCTAACACATTTACACGGATTTATAGAAAATCACATAACAAACACACATTTACAACACTCATTCAGAATACTCTTTAATGTTCACTTCCTAAGCTAGCACTATACATATACATATATGTATATGTAGTGTGTATGTATAAAATGTCAAATGTTTAACATAAAAGGATTACGTCCAAGTGCTTTACAACAGATCCATATAATTAGATACAACAATAGGGAATGTATAATAAATGAATAATCGAATGTTGCTTCATGTTTATGAGGGTATTTTCAAATTATAGTGGTAGTTTATAAATACGGCCAACCGTTGTGAGCGAGCTTTTTTCTTGTTGCATTTGTGTTAGTTATTTTGTCAATTTTATGTGTATGGAGAATGGGAAAATTACCAGCTATTTAACCTAACCTTCACTTGGTTCCCGGAGTAACAAAGTAATGTACTTAATGCATTTTCATTAATAATATGTATATTTCCCACAAGTCCTCAATTTATAAATTATAAAAAGATGATTTTGTTATGAAGCTTTCCCCCAAAGTTCTTTTGATATACTCGTACAAACGCAGTAAGTGCAAATTTTGAACATAATACACATTCGACATTTCATCTCACGCCAAATTTTATTTATGTTGACGACAGTGGCTTTACCACTTAATAAGGTGTCCGTCAGGATGGCTGGACCAAACGAGATATACAAATCAAACTGCTCATTATTTACTACCTATTTTCTACTATTTAGTACCTTTATTGACTTATTTTCTACCTTTGCGCTAACGGAAATATTAAAGAAATAAAATAAAAAATGACGTCAGGTTGGCTGGACCACTATGTTTTTCATGGTTCTGGCAGTATATAGTTAACTCTTTTTATATAAGTATTTACTACCTAATTTCTACCTAAACATACTTTTTTCACTATTTTAGAAAGCTTGTATAAAAAGTTATTTAAAAAAATTATTATTTTTTGCTTTTGCTAAAGGTATCTTCTAAAAAGACAGAAAATAAATGGCGTGTTTTCGAAGTTACGAGTACAGCTTTTACGAAGATTATTTTTATTTTAAGTATATTATGAAGAAAAAACGAAGAAATAGTGATGAAGAAAGTTAGATCTATATTCCGTATTTTAAACCAAATTATAAAAGACTATCCTGAAAATTCCACTAATTACGAATTCAAAGTTATTATCCAAAGTGATAGAAGATAATGTGATTTAAGTGAAAGTAAAACATAAATATTGACTCCCGCCGCTTAAAAGACTACTTAATAAACCCAAATAAATGACCTAAGTTATTTGAGAGAAAGTGAAAACATAATGAATTAGAATTTAGAACTACAATGGCAAATATTACTGAAGATCCTGATAATTAAAGGAAGATATGGCTCAAAGGACTTGTATCCAAGCCAAAACTATTAATTAAAAAAAAATCTAAAAAGACAGTATATCTTCTCCGTGTAATTGCTAACAACAGTTATGCAGGCGCATATAATATACCAACAATGGTTTCTAGATTATCTTTGCAAGCAATATTTTATAACCATTATTATATTAATTAGTTGTTGAATTCACTATTACAAATGTTAATTCCATTTGTAGGTATTAAGGAATGTGAACGAATTATAATCAGTTATTTATAAAGCAATTTATAATAGATTATATTAAATTTTATTTTCTTTTTTAATTTTATTTCCTTTAGCACAAAGGTAGAAAATATATTATGTCGATAAAGTTAACTTACACGTCGATTTTCAATACAGATGAATTTATCAGTATTACTGGACGATGCTCAACAAATTGCACAAGCCCCCTGGTTTCTGAGCAAAGATGAATCCAATGACCCCCTCAAGTAAGTAAACATACATTTCCCTTGCATGAAATCAATATCAGAAATGAAAATGTCATTAAAAAAACTCGCTGTGTAAAACTGTTACTGATTTTTTAAACTTTTGTTAATTAAGAAACATATCAGCCCCTTTACAAACACAATGAACCAAGAAAATGCTGAAATAGAATGCAAAGAGATAAATAAAAATAGTATGTATTAAACATGTATAGAAAATCTTTGTGCTACTACTTGTTGGTTCAAACAAAACTGATTCAAACCACCCCACATTAAATGTACCAAAACAAACCTATGCAAATAACTCCGATAGATTCCGTCCGAACACATTCCATGAGCAAATGATATATAATCTCAAGAATTTCACACACTTGGTAATTTTAAGCTACTTAAGGTTTACAAAAAACCAAACTGCATTTATTTATCAGAATTGTAGTTAACGATGACCTGTGCGCTCTGGTCAGCGACTACATACACCTAGAAGGTAACGCTGACTCCGTGTACAAACTGAAATCGACCACTGAGCTGGGAGAGTGCGTGGAAATACCACCGGCCCCTGTTGCACCTGTCTACCCTCCTGAGCTTCCAAAAGGTATGTTCTTTCCAAATTCTATGTATTTTATTACCTTACTGAAACAAAAGAAATTATTAGATTCAAGACTTACTTGCGGAAGTCCATGTTCCTAAAAATGGAAGTATAATAAACTACTCTGCGAATCCAATGAAGGTAAAATCGTGCAAAATGGCTACGCTTGTGTTGAATATTTTTTCTGCAAATTAACTGCATGACAAATTCACAAGCGTAGCTCTTTTGTACTGGGTTCGCGGAGTAGCAAATTAATTTCAAATCAATTAAAAGAATATTAAACGACAGCTTTTATGGTTCACGATACATTTTTAAATTTACTCAAGTTGTTTAATAATTATTTCTTATGGTTAGGAAACTTCCCAACCTCATAATATTGTTTTTAACCGTCACGGTCAATATCCCGTTTTGAAAGGTACATATTATATAGGTACCACCACCATAAGGGTTCGTAGGTAGTAAAACTAGGAACCTTTATGGTTCGTCAATTCTGGACGCTCATTTATGCAACGAATCACAAAATTTCTTTAAGAGGGCGTATATTGATATCCCAAAAACAAAAAAAAAAATTATGACCCGAGCAAAAGGAACCACAACAAAATTATACATACCTATCGCAAATGAGTGGGGTAGCGTTAAATACATCTTACAAAATGCAACAAAAAATTCAATGGAACACATTTTCGTTAAACGCTCCAGATTCATTGTTTTCGTCGACTTCGGTCGACTAGAAGGTCCGGAGCACTCCATTCTTATGTCGTTGAATTCCACCTATTCGCATTAAGCGCTTTGCTTCCTCCTTTCTGACGCGTACGGCAAAGGAATGGAATGCTCTACGGCATCTGTATTTCCCGAAAAGTACAATTTGGGGCTAATCAAGGCTAGAGTGAATAGGCATTTTTTAGGTAAACGCGTCCCATCGTCGGTCACATCGTCGCTTAACATCAGGTGAGATTGTGGCTAAGCATGTGTCTATTATATACATATAAAAAATAAATTAAAAATTCGCTGTCAAAGTCGGAACCCTATCATGGACGACCAGGATTTGGCCGATTGTTTTAGTTGCTTTCAGCAATGTTTCAGCGTTGACAATGTCATTATGACATTAAAGTTCTGTGTTCAGTAAATAAACTGTTGAAAAATTATTTAAACTAATTTTAGATGTCAGACAAACCAAGCAACTTGTAGAAAAACGTGCGAAGAACTCTGCTCCTGACTTTTTCAAAAGCGTGCCTCATTACCACAGCAAGAGCGCGTCCGTGTCTTCATTGAATTCAGCCGGCAGTGGCGATTCAACGAAGAGCTATAGCACTATGTATGGTGAGTATAATTACTCTACTGCACACAAGACGAATATACAGACACTAACGACGATCCACACAGAAGACACGCTACAGCAAGCGATCTTATTTCGAAGTAGGTATGACAAAATATTACAGCAACATTTATTCATCTGATAGTTCAGAGCAATCTTCGCTATTATGGGTTGACTGGAAAGTGGCAGTTGAACTTAAGGCCTTATTCAGAGTGGCGGCGGGCGCGGGTGCTTGTAAATCAAATGTACGTAGACGCTCGTTGCATTCACAATGGCCGCGCGTGCCGGCGCCTACCTCGAGGCGGGCGCGGTCGCAAATGCGGGCGCGCGGGTCGTGGCCTCTTCCCTTTCACAGTGCCGAAGCGGTTACGAGCGAGCAGATCCACACGTCGAAATCGCAAACAGACGCTAGACCAAGCACAATGAAAGGTACGGGCGCGGACCGAGCCAATAGATCTACGCGTGGGCACCCACGCCCGCCTCGAGACAAGCGCCGGCTCCATCCCGTTGGGGTGGAACTGGAGAAACACCACCCCATTCATCGCTTACGTGGGCACGCAGGAACACCGCGCGCGCTACCTTGGGGCCTATACATTACGGGCGGCGGACGCCCCCTCGTTTACCGCCAAAACCCCTGTTATGGGGGTTGAAGGAGAGCATGATAGTGCCTCCTCCGACGCTCCCTCCACTTTCTAATCAGGGACTGACGCGCCTGAAACTTCCTCACCTGCACTTCCTGCAGTGTGGGATCCTCGCCACGGAGACGGAGGTCAATGCCATTGAAAAATGGCAGCATAGACCTCCACCTCTAGATCCCAAGGAGGAGACCCCGCTAACAAGCACGCCGCCTCATGGGATATGGTGCGATACCCTCTGATAACCCCGACCGCCATCACCCTCTGAGATCTCCTCAGGAGTGCGATGCTTTTCTCCATAACATATGTCAGAACATATGGGAGCCCCATATAGATCCATCGAGCGCACCACACTCCTATGTACAGGCGACGGCTGCTCGCTTTGGGCCCTCCAAGATTGGGCAACAGCCGCTTTAAGCAGCAGCCGTTCTTAAATGTTTTAGTTTTTTTCTATTTCGTTACATGTCACTACATTTGTATACGTTAACTTCGGACATTTTTTAGTGGTTTTTGTGTTAGACCCGACGTCCATTTTGTTGGTGTGTGTGTATACATAGTATAATTTTTATTTCAGGTGACGGGTTTCAAAGACCAATGGTGCAACCAGTTCAACCGTTTGTTGAAAGCAACCACCCAAGGCAACTCCAAGAAGGTAAAAACTATATTATTGAGAATGTATTTAAGTATGATTTTTTTATAGATATTGGTAGTTACCTGGATATACAGCAGCTTGCAGCGATTTTCGTCAAGTAGTTAAATACCATTAACTGGGCAAATCATTGGTTAGTCAAATAAAGATTAATACCAACCCCAATAACCTATAAAAAAAGATTAATACCAACCCCAATAAAATATAAAAAAATTAAAAAGACACCAACACAAATCAAATACGGTTTTTTTAAATAATGGTTAACCATTAAGTATTCATTATTAGATAGAACACCCGTTAAACTCCAAAATATACAAGGACTAAGATAAACAACAGAAGAAAAACTCAAGAGGCACTTTTAAAAAAAGATATTGGTTTTCCTTTAGGTTCTCAAGAGCTAATCTACATCACACATATCGTGAACCCGCATGACTTCTTCGTGCAGCGGTCGTGTCACCAGAGCATGGTAAAAGAAATGCTGAGAGAATTCCGCAACGCCGTCTCCTTGCCACAACCGTCTTTGAACCGTGTTGCTCAAGGTTTGTCCTTTTGAACCACTTTTTGTGATACACTAATAAATCATGTTTACATAGGGCGCACTATAAGTTTCCGGAACTGGCCACTTACATAAACAATATTTAAAAAGTAATTACAACATTTGAAAATGGAACTCTTTGGCTGTAGAATACAGTTTGTTTCATCTGACTGTCACTTATTTTTACATTGTGGCGTCATCTTAGAAATTGGTTGTCTACATCGTCATGGATTTAACTCGTAAAAATTTTCGTAGTACGATTTTCTACGACTTTAAGGGTCGTATTCTAGGACTCTACTCAATGCTTAAGTCAGGATTTGAGTATAGTTTAAAGCACTCGAAATCATACTGAAGTCCTTGCCATTATTAGGGTCGTATTTCCAGTGCTTGAAATCATACTCAAATCTGCTCAAATCCTGACTTGAGCCTTGAGTAGAGTTCTGGAATACGACCCTAAGTGTAATTTAACAGCTCAGCGGAGCTTCGGTCGACTTCAAACTGCTTTTAGCGATGAAGCACCGTGCAAGAAGACTATTTATAGCTGGTTTGCAGAATTCAAATACGGTCATATGAATCTCAGTGAATTTCGTTCTGGCAGCCCATCCACTGCTGTGAACAACAAAAACATCGATGCTGTGCGCCGCGTGATAGAACACATGAACAGACAGACATGTGACATACCATGAGATTCTGGCATCTTTAGGCATAGGCATGAGTCGAATACAATCAATACTACACAAACATTTGGTTGTGAAAAAGCTGCGCTCTCGGTGGATCCCACTCAATTTGACTGAGGCTCAAAAAACGGATCGCGACACTTGGTGCAATGTCATGCTTACCAATTTTAACAAAGGGGCGTCAAATTTGGTGTGGGACAATGGTAACAGGTGACGAAACATGGATTTATAGTTACGATCCCAAAACAAAGCAGCAATCGAGCGTATGGGTCTTTCGAGATGGGCCGAAATCTACCAAAATGGCACGCGTGCAAAGTGCCTCTAAGCGGATGATTTCTTCTTTTTTTTAATAAAACTGGACACGTGGCTACTGTTGCTTTGAAGAATCGTTGTACCATGAATAGTGATTGGTACACGACCATTTGTTTGCCGGAAGTTATTGACAAACTCCGTAAAAATAACCGTAACCGCCGTATCATCTTGCACCACTATAATGCCACTTCTCACACGGCCAGACAGACAAAAGAATTTTTGAAGGTGAACAACGTTGACCTTATAAGCCATCCCGCGTACAGTTCCGACCTGACCTTGTGACTTTTATTTATTTCCAAAAATTAAGAACCGTGTAGTCAACGATTTTCATCACCTCAAGAGGCTGTAGTAGAGTATGAAAAATATGTTTCAGAGATTGTCACTTTTTTTTTATTAATTAATTTTAATTTAATAATATTAATTAATTGTTAATTGCGGTTCTCGCAACTAACAATTGATCAATCGTTAATTGCTGTTTGGCATTTGACAATTAATAGAACAATTAAATTTTTCCCAACACTGGTTCAAAGTAACAGAAATAATGGAAGTAAAATACGTATAATATTGTACGCAGGGAAACTGTACCTCATGTTCAACAAGGCTGATAATATGTGGCAGCGTTGCCGCGTTGTGAGCATCAACCAGAAGAACATAAATAATCCTGTGTTTGGCGTATTCTGCATCGATTTCGGCAGCACTGAATCTGTTTCTATTGACGAGTGAGTTATTATTTTACAGTTATTTATTTGTGGTGCGTTTGTGAGTACATATTATTTTATACTTTATTGTGATGGGTTGTGTGTTGTTTGTTGTTTTGCTATGTTTTATACTTTGTATTTACACTTTGTAAATTATTCTTTCTTATTCCGTTTATAATATTTGTTAGTACTAATATAATGATTTAAATTAATAATAAAAAGAAACTACGCACAAGGGCACTGACCTGAAGTTATAAAATGCACACTAAATCGTATTTAGTGTTTATGGAAATATTTCTCGGATAAATAATAATAGTTCAATAATAAAACCTATTTATACTAAACACAAAGTAGGCTGATCCCTTTGACACTTCATTTGAGGTTTGTCATAGGTCGTAAAGTCGGGCGTAAGGTCGGTAAAGTCGATAAATCTTCAGTGTATTTGATTTTTGAAGCAAAGCTTCTCTCTTATATCTGACGTATTCTGAACGATGTATAGATAGATGTGTGTATTGTATATATGTAGTGTTTTGTATTATATTGAAGGGATAAAATACAACTATAATTCAAATGAAATTTCTAAAAACATTTATCATATTGTAGGATAGATGGTTAGTTACGACATTACCAGAATCAAAGTGCGCTTCTATTCAAGAAATAAAGTATTAGAATTACAATTATTACATAAATTTGGTGCGATATTTAACACATAAAATACGTACACGAGCTAGGGTAAGGCAGAGCGTTGGCCGACTGACAGTCGCCTGCTCGGCACTAAGGAATGCATGCGCTTGCAAGACAAAACGTGCTACTGTATCACTAATGGTAGGTACCTCTACATGACACCATTCTAAAAATTGTTTACGAAAAATGAACAGGCTTTACCAAAAGAATCACCGAGTTCTAAAAGTTATTCAAACTGATAGCGCTTATTGCGAAACAACTAACAATAACAATCAGTAGTACGATATGTAACGGTAGCGTGGAATGTAAACAAGTTTTTATATACTGACGAAATACACAGTTTATTGTTTGCTAATTTTAATAAGATGACAACTAAGTTTTAAAATTAAATTTAAAATTATTTTACATTTTTTCCAACAAGAGTACATAATGTTTTATTATGACCAATAGTCGGTAATACATCTACATATATATAGCTAGAAGGAGCGACATAGGGTTGTTAAAACCACCAAATATTAATTAATTACTTTTTCGAATTCCGGATTTTTGGAAAAGGTCTTACTGCATCGTAGGACTAACCAAAAAGGAATTCCATACCCTCTAGTACCGCGTGATGCATGAACCTTTGGCAGGTTTGCGCTGCATTTCGTACGTCGTTATTTTTTTAAATTGCGTCACTACACTTCTCAGCCTTATCTCCGAAACGGTAGTGGTAGTAACAGAGACGACCGCGGTTACGCGAAGATTAGGATCTCCTGTTGCGGCTGGAACTGCGTGCGGAAAACGACGGTGTCAAAACTCAGCTTGGCGACTAAATCCACCAGGTCGTGAGAATCAGCTTACGATACCGTTGGTATGTCCACTGGCCTTCTTGTCTCCATGATTTTACCAGCGACCTCAGCCAGTTTCTCCGACTTACTTAAGGCGGTGGCGGCTAGCACTATACGCACCGACGTGGACAAATGACTTTGCCATAAAACGAATAATGTATCTTGAGTTACGCTGTCACTTGCAAGTCCTTTCATACAAAAATTGGACGAGGCGAGTTACAACAAATGGACTGCCTTGGCAGTAGTTCCGATACACCATTTGAGATTATCTTTTTATAATCTGATTCCGGTTATGGTGAACAAATTATACAATTTCAACAAAGTGTTTATTATATATAGAACTACCGAAGCTATAGTGTGCAAATAAATGTATATAGAATTGGCCATTTGATATTTTAGGTATTTTTTATTCCTTTCTAAATTATGTCATTACTGAGCCTTCGGGTATATATAGGACTCCACCAACAACTTCACCCAGTTGACATGCCTAAATGATTCCCATATTATACTTGTATCTAAATTATTTTTTCCGTGATACCATGAGTGAATTTCACTTTCCGAGTTTCAATTGCACGTTTTGAGTGATTTTTGTAAAACCCTTTTTTCTTTTGGTTTTAAGGTCATAAACGTACAAATAAGTTCAAGCAATGTCAATCATTATAAATAAGTTAAATTAACAAAAAACGATATTTTAGGTCACACGAATGAGATTGCAGTAACACGAATGATTTTCTCATAAACATAAATGAGAAAAACGGCACAGTAATGATAAATTATTAATACAACACACATTTTGTCGTCCACAAAAAAATTTAACATGTAACAAATATTTTAATATAACTTCTTGTATCAAAATTCTTCTCATCCGTGTAAGACCATCTATCTATCTATATGTAATTAATAAATTAATCTAAATAAGTAGTTTGTTAAAGTCATATAAACTTTTTGTTGTACATCAATATATCATCATCATCACCATCAACATTATCATCATGATCACCATTATCATTACCATTCACATCATCATCACAAGCATCGTCATCATCACTACAATCATCATCGTCATCATCACCACCATCATCATCCTCATCACCATCACCACCACCACTATCACCATCTAATTGTTATATTTCAAGTAAATGTTTGGCTTACAGTAACTATTTGACTTAAAAGTAGACAAGAATAAGAGCGACAATAATGATATTTGGATACATTTTTAATTGTCAAGTCTGTAAAAAGACCGTTATAAAAGTGCATGGATTTTAAAGTTCTCTTTGTCTAATTGATGTACAATAAAGTTTATGAAACTATTACTTAATACTCATTTAGATAGATTGCTTTACATGAATGAGAGGGTTGTTCTTCAAAAGGGGCAAAAAACGTCTTCCGGTCAATTATTTTAATATACTAAAATTTCATGACACAATTAATAAGCTTTTTATATATATTTACCATTATTTTACATGTTACCCAGTTTAAAAAATACATCTTTGGTTTAATTTATGAAAAAAAAATCAAAAATGTCGCTAAACGTCATTTTACTCCTATTCCTATGACGTCTCTTAACACAACATTTGTTCACAAATAATTTATTAAATACTTATACATTCTAAAAATTTTATGAATGAAAGTTTAATAAATTAACCTTCGTTTAAAATAAAAACCTCTTCAAATACTTTGCATGGTTAACTTAAACTTCAATTCAAATTATTGCTACAAGAAAAACGTCATTTGTCGCAGTAACGTTGTTAAATCTTATTATTGAACGACGCATTTTCGAACGCATCTTTAATACACCTTCCCGGGTGTGCGGGAGGGGCCTTCAGTCGGCGGAGACCTATTGGTGAACGAGCACGTGCGGGTCTGAGAGCTGTAAGTAATTTTTTATAGTTCTTCACATTTTGTCATTAAAAATATCATTTGTGTTTCAACCTAAACTCCTTAAATGCACATACGTAATATTTTCGTTTGTATTTTATTCAATAGCCAGTGGCAAATGAATTCATTTAGTCTAATCATAACGGTTTTTTAATGCTCACAGACAAGTCCATACAGGTTTTTTCCTCAACTCGTCATTCTATGCTACATCATTGTCGGCACTTATCCGATTCGCCGTCATCGCAACACCGGAATAAATATATGTTTTATATTATCAGTCAATTGTCGTCCCAACACAGTAATATAACTAGAATAACCTGGAATTATTCTGAAGCTGGGCACGGAAAGGGTGCTCCTGATGGCGTTGGTGGTACAATAAAAAGAGTAGCAGATCAAATGGTGCATTTTGGTTCAGATGTTGGAAATTTTGATGAGTTTTACAAAATCATGGAATCAAGATTAGAAAATATTATAATTCAAAGAGTTTCAGAGCAAGACATAATTCAGAGGGAGAGATTGATTCCTGAGCAGTTGAAACCATTCAGGGGCACCCTTTCTGTACATCAGGTTCTTTGGGACGCGTTCAGACCTAAAATCACTATGAGAAATATGAGTTGCTTCCTATGTGATGCTGGTGAAATTTGCTCCCATGGTAAGCATCTGGGTTATATCAATAATAAGTCCTTTAGAAATCAGAACGACGATCTTGATTCTTGTGTAACTCCCCTGGCAAACACTAAGCGTAAATCTCAAAATCAAAACAAAATTCAGATTATTTCTAATGTTCTTATTGATGTCACTAATAAGACTCAGCTTCAGTGAAAATTGACCCATTTTGATTATTCCAATTTAGTTGATAATAATTGCGATTGGAATTAAGATGATAATACGTGATATTTTTTGCGTGAAATCTTTTGAATCCTAAAATTGTAAGTAAAAGTATACTATTTGAAACTTAATATTTGTCTATCCTGTGTGTAGATCAAGGATATTACGGGGATGAGGACGCAATGCGGATGCAGATATGAATATTTTTAAGAGATATACATCACGTAGCTAAAATATGTGGAACTCTCTTAATAATTATGTCCTTAATTGAAGAAGTTAATCTGTGATTTTTTAAAATAATTACCAAATTACTATTACCAAAGAAAAACTAAATCCCGTATTACAGAACATAGCTCAATACTAAAGCATTACTTAAAACTAGATTCAAGCCAGTTGATTGGTTGAAACTATTTTTTTTATTTCATCAGTACTCAAGAATTACTTAAAAGTAGATCCAAGCCAGTTGATTTCTTGAAACTATTTTTTTTTTATTTGATTAATACTCAAGCATTACTTAAAATTAGATTCAAACCAGTTGATTGGTTGAAACTATTTTTAAGTAACGCTTGAGTCTTGGTAGACGTTCTATAATACGAGACTGAGTCCTTTATTAGCTAGATGATTAAGTTATTTGAGTGTGACAGTTTGTTTTTAAGAAATATCTAAGTACCTACTTAGCTTCACAGTTACGTATTTATCGCCTCACGCTAATAATTTAAGATTGTCATTTACTTTGAATCCTTTGTTTAATAAATAAATATTATATAATATACTTAATAAATATTTTGATTACTTAAATGT